GGTATGCATCTAGACAACAAGGCGGCGATTTCAGGGGTGGGGGGCTGATGTCCCTTGTGTGTAAGCTCTAAGGCTACGCGGGGGTGCGGTCTCCGTGTTTCTGATTGACCGAGCAGTGCCCATGCATCGGCAGACAATGGTGCGCCTTTGTTCTGGTTGGGAATGGGTACCGTTGACAGCGGGGGAAAAGTTGGATTTTTATCATCACGGGGACGTGTAGTCGAGTGTCGTCAATGACGACACTTGTGCATGGTTTCTGAGTTACATGGTGGAAGAAGCTTTTGTTGCTGTTGTTGTGCTTCAGAGTGGTGACGGTAGATGGACGCCACTTCAGTCTAGAACAAATCTCTGCCCGTTTGTGCTACTTCTTTTTCGCAAGTGATGCACACGATGGCTTGTGGAGGGGGGTGAATGTGTGAGGATGTCACCCAGCTAGGCTTCGACGACGTGGATTTTGCAATGTGGGTACGCGTAGTTTTCTTTCAACGCTACGATAACCATTGGACCGTTGTAAGACAGGAAATGCGCTTTCCCAGTTACAGTAGGACCAGGGACAACAACAATGTGTTGGTAAGTAAGGTGCTATTTTCGGCAAGCAGCTTCCTGATTATTGGTCATTAACTTTTCGTGAAAGGAGGCAGAACAAAATACGAAATACAAGTAGTGTGCCAAAAGGCAGTGTGTAGGGCAACCCACACGTGGAAGCCGGTGTGACTGAACGAACGAAGAAGTCGGGAGTTGGTTGTGTTCTTGTCACCAGGGGGGTGGGTGTGTGACTGCCGTACTGTAGTGGGTGTGTGACTGCCGTAAATCCCCCCTCCTCGGTTGTTGTTTAGAAATTACAAAGGATACATTCCGCACGTGCGTGTACACTCCACGCGTGCGTGTAGCCTTCACAATGGTGCAATACACAGCAGCAGCATCATAGGGGGCTGCAGAAGAAGCAGAGTGAAAGTATAAATAGTTAGCGCCCGCACTTGAGAACCTGGGAGCTAAGATATCCAGGCTAAATAACTACGGAGTACTTCGTCAGAACTTCCAGAACTTCCAGAACTTTGCGCAAAACACGTGTCTAGGATTGGTTTATAGGCAAGAATTCTACAGTACACTAAAACCTACTTCGTATTTCACTAAAACCTATGTGGTCGCTGTTGGGTACCCCATAGAGAAAACAAGGATAAATAAGCCTCGCCCGCAATAAGTGGTTCTTCCTATGTGCTGCACAGGTGGCCAGTGGGCACTGTTACGGGGGGGTTAAAGCGACCTGTAACCCCTAGGCGTTGTGCGACCTGCGTAACCCCCTCGGGCACACCGTTCTCAACCGTCCAAGGTCAGGCAAGGTTCGGAAACGCCGCCCTAAACCCAGTTAAGGGACATCTGCATCCGTACGAGGTTACAGGCGAGGTTGTCCAAGCCCAAGAATGTCCATGCCTTGCCGCGAAAACTACCCGCCAGTTGTCCACAGAGTACACACACCAATATATTTGACGTTCGCGGCAATGAAGAAATACCTAAACAGCTACAAAAAAAGTGCCGGCATTGTAAGGCCGATTTTAGTTGACTACACCGTGCAAACATAAGAGTACGCCCCCCCCCCCTCCGCACCTGTACTATTTCAAAGGAACCCCCTCCTCGCCGCTGATCTGTAACTGCCCACCGGTCAGCCCGCGAGTAGCCCCTCACCCCTTCGTGAGTTCTTATCTTCTTGCAGCTGCCGCGTTTTGGGGCTCTGTTCTTATCGGTAAGCACATTTTTACACCACGAAGGCGGGTTCTTGTTCTTAACACCACGTCGGGACTGAGCACGTGTTCTTATGGCCAAATTCTTTGATTTTGATTTTTTTCGAGGCCGCATTTCTTGACTACTAAATTCTTAAGTGCGAGTGCCATCTGTATGTTTTCTCATCATTATGTAGTACCAGAAGCAACATAGACATGGACCTACTATTTGATACGATTGGGTAGAAATACGAACGGCAACGATCGGGGGAGAAAGAAAAGACTGCGAAAAAGAGAGAGACAATGATTACTATACGATGCCTCTGTAAAAGTCAATACGACGACACGTACGTACGTAAGTCTGTCTCCGTAAAAATTACTTCATGTAGCGGTCGAATATATATATATCTGAAAAGAATTACGCGCCTAGCATAATACCGTAAACGTCGGAGATTCCCCCCCCTGGTAGAGTTTTCCCCTCCCCCCACTACCTTTTCGGCCTGGAAGCATGGTTTCTTTGATTTAGCCCCGGGGTAGATAGTTTTCGAACAAAAAAAAAAGATCTCCCCAGGTATTTCAATTTCCCCCCGGGGTACCAGTTTTCCCACTGGTCCCCCCCGGGGGGGATGTATTTATCTAATTTTCTGAGTCGATTTTGTTGCATCGCGGAGCACGAAAAGCACGATGATATGGGACGGAAAATATTGTTGCAGATGTGCGCTTCGAGCGAGATTTAGGTGTACCGTTGGTCGCTGGAAGGCGGGCCCTTCCTTTCGTGGAATTACTTGCGGGACGAGACAAATTCCCTCTGCTGCTGTCCTCCTTGCTGTCTTTTTTCTCTTCGCCTTCGTTGCTCATACGTTCGTCCTCCCTCTGCTTGTTGAACGCTTGCTCGTAAACCTTATCCATCTCAGTTTCGCCACTCTCTGTGTGTTTGGTGTGTAGACCATCATCATTTTTGCACAACTCCCCGAGGGGGGGGTTCCCCTCGGGGTAGCGTTGGAACAAACCAACCCCCCCC